ATATTGGAATGGCCCACGGGGACACATAAATTCACAAGTCATGATCTGGAAAAATTTCAATTCCCTTTGCATACGTGGGAAAATTCTTCAAATGTGATATTGTTGCACTTAACTCTCAGACTTGGGGGAAGAATGTTTAACCCCAAATCGGGTGGGGGGATCAGTGGCGGCTGAACAATTTTCAAAGGGGGGCGGGGCAGTTGTTAGCCCATCAATCATTAATAGGCCGATAAGCCCCACCCCATTATAGGCTCTGTGAAAAGTAGGGTGACCATGTCCCCCCCTCAAAAAAGTGGCCCCCAATACTCATGTCCCACCTGCATGCCCCACATCTTAAAACAAACTATTTCTGTCTGTGTTTTGAGCCTTGCCAAAAATACGCATTTCTCTATGAATGAAGGAGGAAACAGTTTGTGAAATCAGGAAGCCAAAGGCATTGATGTATTGACTAAAATAACCTCAGTTAGCTCGCAAAACAGACTGGAGAGGATATGGCTCCATAGAAAAATCAAAGCAAACTTTTTTGCCTGACGTGATGACAACAAACAAACTTGGCTGGGACTTAGGCTGTGTACCTTTGAGGAAGTCTTTAACTTCTGGTTCCTGCCATTTTGATAGCCATCACATATTGGATGTGATCCTTTGATGAAAAGGTTTGAATTAGCTAGCTGAAACTTAAAGTTTTGTTGTGGAAAATATCTCTCTTGTATGTGTGGTTATTTTCAGAACCATACACACATGTAGTCGATCACTCATAAAGGTGCTTCTGCAAACCTGTTATTCAATGAGGGGCTTAGACGAATCTTTCACTTGCCAACTTGCACTTTGTAATAGGTGATGCAATTGAAAATTGCCCATTTCTNCGTGGGTCCGAGTTAGTATTGGCTCCGAGTTGGTTGTGGGTCCGAGTTGGTCGTGGGTCCGGGTTAGTATTGGGGCCGACTTGACATGGGTCCGAGTTGGTCGTGGGTCCGACTTGGCATGGGTCCGAGTTGGCATGGGTCCGAGTTGGTTTGGGTCTGAGTTGACTCGAAACCAATTAGATGTACTGAGGTGGGTGATCTGGATGAGTGATAGTGTCTTCTAGGCTTGCTTTGCATTTACATGGATACACTATAAAATTAAATCCTTTACCAATACTTCTTACGGTTGTATGTAGTTCAGTAAGCTTTGATAAGTACAGTCATCTCCCATTAGAGTGAACTTGGGCAAGACAAAACTCTGGTTAGAACAAATATGGATCACTGGTCAGGTATGAAAAGAGGAGGTAAAGTACACAAATAAATAAGGTGGCATCGAAAATATATTTTTTGTATACAGTGTATTTGAGATCTGTGATTTGATACATGAATGGCCAGGAAAAGCTGCTCAATTATCAGGCTTGGGTGTCTTAGCCTTGAGCACTCACAAGTTCAAGAATTTCAATGGCCCCCAGCCAAAGGCACTAAGTGGATAAGTTGCAAGTGCCTAACTTTTTATTAAAGCATTTTTCCTTGCCTTGGTATCAAGTAGAGGAATTGGTTTGCTAGAGATGCATATTGGAATGGCCCACGGGGACACATAAATTCACAAGTCATGATCTGGAAAAATTTCAATTCCCTTTGCATACGTGGGAAAATTCTTCAAATGTGATATTGTTGCGCTTAACTCTCAGACTTGGGGGAAGAATGTTTAACCCCAAATCGGGTGGGGGGATCAGTGGCGGCGGAACAATTTTCAAAGGGGGGCGGGGGAGTTGTTAGCCCATCAATCATTAATAGGCCGATAAGCCCCACCCCATTATAGGCTCTGTGAAAAGTAGGGTGACCATGCCCCCCCTCAAAAAAGTGGCCCCCAATACTCGTGTCCCGCCTGCATGCCCCACATCTTGAAACAAACTATTTCTGTCTGTGTTTTGAGCCTTGCCAAAAATACGCATTTCTCTATGAATGAAGGAGGAAACAGTTTGTGAAATCAGGAAGCCAAAGGCATTGATGTATTGACTAAAATAACCTCAGTTAGCTCGCAAAACAGACTGGAGAGGATATGGCTCCATAGAAAAATCAAAGCAAACTTTTTTGCCTGACGTGATGACAACAAACAAACTTGGCTGGGACTTGGGCTGTGTACCTTTGAGGAAGTCTTTAACTTCTGGTTCCTGCCATTTTGATAGCCATCACATATTGGATGTGATCCTTTGATGAAAAGGTTTGAATTAGCTAGCTTCATACCCGCTGAAACTGAAAGTTTTTTTGTGGAAAATATCTCTCTTGTATGTGTGGTTATTTCCAGAACCATACACACATGTAGTCGATCACTCATAAAGGTGCTTCCGCAAACCTGTTATTCAATGAGGGGCTTAGACGAATCTTTCACTTGCCAACTTGCACTTTGTAATAGGTGATGCAATTGAAAATTGCCCATTTTTAAGTTGAGACCAAAGGATTTTCAGAGCTTGGTGAAGTTTCCATTGACATTTGAAGGTGGCCTTAATCATTGCCCTTAACCTCTGAGGCTGATTGACACTAAATAAAAGGTTGGCCATAACAGCTGCAACTGTCCTTACAGTCAAAGAAATTACTAATATCCCATGAGCACTGTGAATTTGGCAAACATCACCAAGGTACACAAGATACTACTAAAAAACCTAGTAAAAGAAAGATGAGGTGCTTTCCTTGATTGTTTTTGTTTTTTGGAGGTTGGGAAAAGTGTATTTACAAATTTGTTATCTATACCATACCATTGATCTACGTAGATATTCTTATTGAAGTAAATTGCCACAAAAAAGGATGAATGTTCTCTCTTCCTTAAATATCAGTTACTTACGTTGCAATGTCAGCATTTGAGTTGATACATATGACACAGTGACATCACACAGAAAGTTAAAAAATGGTAAGCAAACAAATATAACACCCAACTCTCTTCTGGACTTTGGCAATTTTTCTTTCTCAGGTCAGGGCAAGATTTGTCAACCCCCAAGATACACCTCTCTGTCAGTCAGGACAAATCAAATTTAAGAACATTTGAAACTGTTTTCCCACTACAAAATTTTTCTTTAATTTTTTGTAAAAGTTCAAGAGTTCAGCCAAACAAAGTTCTCACGGTCACCTTGCAACATGCCCTCCACATTCTCCTAGCGTTTCAGTTTCAGCACTTGGGGACTGCAACTTTTATCAATCAAATAGAAATTGGGGTTGGGTGTCGGGTATAATTTGCAGTTGACAATACTAATGAGAACAAAAAAATACAGTGGAATGGGGAGTAGACTGGCCCCAAAGGGAGAATTTCCAGATAGAGATCCCAGTCAAAGAGCTAAATTGTAATTGAACAAAATATAAGCTAAGTAAGATGATCGAAGTGTTTTATGATGATTTTCCTGGAGAGGGAAAGTTAAAAGCCTGTTTTGAACTCTTGAAAATCAAATGTGGTTGGTTTATTTAGGTTTTACAAAGAACTACATGTGTCACAGGGAGTGGTAAAAGAACCTTTACCCAACAATCCATATAAAAGAGTTATGCGGCTCCTTATGATATCTCTCCTGCTACCTGAAAAGTAAATGGTTTTATTCTTATACAAAACTGAAGATGGTTTTGGGATTTATTTCCTCTTTGGCCAAATAGTCTCATTATGAACTGGTGTTTCAATTTCATTTATTTGATATCATTGATATCCAACAAAGTAATTGAAATACATTGAAATTCGTTGTGGTTTTGCAAGCGTTAAAAACTTGATAATCAAAATATATGTACAGAACAATAATAACTACACTACAAAAATTCACACCAGAATTACAACCAATAATTTCAGACAGCATATCAGGTAAAATAACAGTTGATTAAATAAAATGGGATTAAGATAACAATAAAATCTGATGAATCACAGATTAGGACTTTGATTGCTCCTGTACATGTACATTCAATAAGCGAACTGCACTTGGATAAAAACTGTTCAAGGTTTGAGTCGAATCTGCGCGAAGTGATCTGTAACATTTATCTGATCTCATCTGCTGAAATAAGTCATTCATTAGTCATGCATTTCAATGCAAAAGTAGATGGGAATTCAAGCTATTCATGGTGACAGACAACTAAGGTGGAAGGCTTGCGGAAGCACCATGCAAGGATACGATCTCTTTTGTGAGTCTGTATGGTTCTGAAAAGAACCGTGAGGAACTCAACATTTCGGACAGTATGCTCTACTACTAGCTGATGATAAACTGACAATACGTGTATCTTCAGTGCATTTTACACCACCAATGAGATGGGTTAAAAATTAAAAAAAAAATAATTAGAATGGGAAGGTATTTTTAATTAACCAAAGACTACAGCAACTACCATAAACCATACATCTCTTTGATGTGATGTGAACTTTGATGTGTACATGCGTGTAGTGTGATGGATTAGAATTGGAAGCAATGGAGGACTGACTAATGGAGTGTAGACCAACCCAAGCTTCTGAAAAGAGATGTTGAATTAAAACAGTTATGGTTCCTTGGAGTGCATCCCCCCTACATGGATAACTGTGTTAATTTGAGAGCTAATAGGTCTACATGCCAGCAAGCAATTTGCAGGAGGCGTAGGCCTGCTCTTATGAGGAAAAAGACCTCACCATGTCCTGGCTCCATTGGTGAACTCTGGATAACCTGGCTGATCGCACGGTCCTCGCAATGGCGATGAGTCCTTTGAATATCTGCCCTTTCAACTTTCAGTGGTACTTTATGTGCCTTCCATGTTTGTATAAGGTAACAGCGAATCAGGGTTTGATTCCGAAGAGGGAACTTGAGAAATGGCTACCACATGCTAAGAAGACATCAGCGCGCAAATTACCCACTCCCGACACGGGGTGATAGTGATGAAAATAGCAATACAGGACTCTTTTGGGGCCCTGTAATTGGAATGAGTACAGTTTAACTCCTTTAATGAAGATCTGTTGAAAGGAAAGTCTGGTGCCAGCAGCCGTGATAATTCCAGCTCCAGTTAAATTAATTTATTGTATTACTCTTTTTTCTTGTTTTGTTTTTTCAGGCATTCAACACACCAAAGTCAACTGCATTGAATGGCGAACATTCCGACCTCAGGATCCCAGTTTATGTGAGGGAATGAGGAAGCCCAACGTACGTCAGCAAGCGTGCAACATTGAACCATGCCCACCAGTGTAAGCCACCTTTGTTAGGTCATGTTGTTGTCGTATGTTGAATCAGTTGTTTTCCAAGGAAGAAAAAGTCACCCACTTTCATATATTTTGTGTGACCAGGTGTCGCATGCCTATAGAGTACATTTTGTGCCTGATTGCATAAAGTCAAGAAACGGCTGTCAACTGATGGCCGTTCACAAAACTTGATTCCAAGGCTCCAGGCACTGCATGTGGCTGTGGATACTTTGGAGTCAAGACATCTTTTCTTTTCTGCACTTGGGTATGGTTTTGAATTTCACATGTGGCCATGGTAATACCCGATGGTGCTCTTAGTCCAATTAAGTTGTAGCCAAGTCATGCACACCTGTAGGTACGCAGCTGCCATGTGCACAAAATTATATATGACATGATACATCAATGCGACCATCTTTAACTTGTAGTGCCCATCCAACCTATTCAGTTCTCTCTAATCTCAGTACTTCATCCAACCACACTTCATTGATCCTCTAATTTCTGCAGTGCCCACTACATTAATTTCCTTTCTCACACATTCTCACAATCATCCAAACACCAATATCTCTGCACCATGAACCACGCTCCTCTCACCTTCTCCTCCCCAATTTCATTAAAATCCAAAAATGATCGCATACTAGAGCTTGGTAAGTTTATAAATATCATCCAAAACCCAGTTGCATCAATAAACTACAAGAAAAAAATTTCATTAAAAACAAGGCCACATTTTGTCACTTTTTCACAAAAAGCCACGCATCGAGAATTTGAAGAAAACTGGTTTTCACCATAATTGCCAAGGAAGTTTCTCCTCTTTCAAACCTGCAAAACTTGCTATCTGGAACAACTTCATGTAGTAGAAACCCTCAATGATTCTTTTGCGGATGAACGTTTGCACAAACCAAGTAATAAAACTCAACACAGTGGTTAATTAACTGAAATGAAATTATCAAGTTTAGTGTTTTAAAACAAATTGTGAAAAAATTGAAATAATATGTGCCACTTAGTCAAAACAGTGACCGTTTTTACATGTAGGCCCCTACATGTGTGTTTGGTCAAGAGGGGACTGTTGTCTGATTATGATAATGGGATGGGATCAGATATTTTGAAACCAGTTCAGACAAAATCCACATTTCTCTGGAAGCCAAGAGATTAAAGTGTAAAAGCATTTAGCGTCATGGGCAGATTCAGATCAAGTTTGGCATAATTGTCTCTGGGGATAAAAAAGGTGAAAATGTGAATGTATATTGTAAGTTTTGATGGCCTGTAAAATTAACTCATTTATTTTGAATAAATGGGAAACTGATTACAACGTTGGAGACATCAGATACTCCACCAGTGATGTATTGGGCCAACCTTAGACAAATCCAAGATAGGTCCGTCTAGATGCTCGAGACCAAGGCAGGTCAATGTCCAAGTTGTTGAGTCTGAGCAAAGTCTGAGTCTAGGCCTGATAGTTTTGTTATGGCAGAATGCACAAGATTAAAATGAAACAAAACACCTGTTATACACCTACATAATATGCACACTTGTTTATTTCTCGTGAATGCCCAAAATAACAGTGCCCTACCACATCATTTATCTGTATGTCAAAAGCTTGGAGGGGGGAGACCAGTCACGATATGTATAGCTGACATGGCAAATTTTAGACTGACAAGGGATCAAAATGTTTTTGTGTGACTGAGAAACTCCTTTTTCTAGATATTATCAAAGCTGTTTCAAGGACACATGAAGTAATGGTTGTATTTACCTAGACTCTATGAAAGAATTTTCAAGGCTTTGTCTAAATTGTTCAGTAAACAATGTTCAGTGTGAAAATGAGATGTCTAATGTTTCTCACAGGTCATGGACATGAGGTGAGTCGTGTATAATTGATATTCTGTGGCCCAAAATGGAAGAGATTCTTTAAGCTCTAACTCCCTGGGATGTATGTAAAAACATATTGAAATCGTAGGATTGAGGACTTTAAGGGCTAGTAAGAATTACAAAATGATAACAGAGTTTTCTTTCGCAAATGTAAAATGGACTCAATATTTACTCGCTGTCCAAGTCAGCCGCTGGCCAAGTCTGAGCCAAATTGAGTCCAAAAGGCCGTAGGTCTTGGCTGAGTCACAAGTTCAGCAAAATTTGAATCAAGACCGGACTACTCATTGTTTAAACATGGTTTGGACTCAATTTGAGTCTTACTGTCCAGGTCAGCTGCTGGTCAAGTCTTAATAGCCAAGTCACAAATTCAGCAAAACTGGGCCTGAGACTGACCGGGCTCAAGTCTGGTCTCGAGTCCAATATCATTCCACAGTCACTGACTCAATTCTTAGAATAGTTCTTTTTTAAGTGCCTTTTTTTTAGTGCCTGTTAGGCACTGAGAGAGACCTTTGTTCATGCGTAGCATTACACAACACCTGATGAAAACGGTGAAGTTTGATTTAGAAGACTTCCCTGATATGCAACTACCTTGACGTTAATATACCCGGTTGATTGCTAGAGAGTGAAGGAGTATACATATCCATATATCAGGTGTTGATTCCATTGCTTAAGTTTATTCCCTGGGGCATGTCTGTTTGACTGTCTGGATATCAGTACCACTGGAGTCTGACAGTTTGAATTCCCTGTGGATTAGCCCATTGTATATTCACATTGTCAGCCACCAAAATCAACAAAAGGGTGCAAAATTTACTGGCGGGGAGAGAAATTTTTTTTGTCATTTTTGTTTAGTCTGAAATATCATTACTAATGATTTATAGTCAAGGTCAGGAAAATAGCTGACACTGTGGTGTTACATTGGCGGTGCTTCTGTGTGTGAACAATTCTGGGCAATTTTGTTGTTGTGCACTATTTAAGGCTGACAGTGCACATGCGGAATAAATAAGCAAAAGAACGTGCCTGTCTTTACTTCCTCCACAATCTTTACTGCAGTGTTTTGGGCACCGTGTCAAAACACGTCAGTGTAACTAGTGTAAAATTCATGCAGAATAATTTCGTAAATAAACACATTAGCACAGGCAACCATCAAACTTTCATTGCCCTTTACCAAGTAATTCTCAAGTAATGTTTAACTTTCAGGTGGTACTCCATCTGTGGCAATCAATCTCCATTAAATATTTTGTAAAAGTACCCAGGGTGTATTGACCGAGTACCTACTTTGAACAAATAGGAATGTCAGTGCTTGCATGAAACTTGTATCATATCTTCATAAAATGTACATAAACTTGAAAATGAAGACTCAAGATCCCCACTTGGCAACTTAAGAGCCCTGGAGAAGTAGTCATTGAAACCATCAAGGACAGGATGGGGATCAGGTTCATTAAAAGTGTCATCTCTTTCATGCTTTAGAATTGCTCGTTTCCCCCTCTCGTTCCAAATGATGCACTCAGTTTCCCTTGTTAATTGCGCATGGCAGGCCCTCAGTAATGCTACACAGCGATGTGCTGTCTGAAGCAGATCGACTGAAAAGGACATCATCCTCCATCAACAGAGGAAGTTTTGGTGGTCAAGAGATTATGTTAATAGCTCTGTGTATTGCGGGTTGCTGTTCTTTTGATAAAGAGATCATTATAAAAGCCATTCCTGAAAGATGTGCATTGATAATTGCAGTTGTGGGCAGTTAAAGCCGTGGTCTACTTCAACCTTGTAAATCTCATGTCTTGGAGGGGGCAGCCAGGGGTAGTGGTGGAGAAGTTAGCTTTATGTGTATCATGAGAGATGGAATGCTGCCTCCAAAAATTGTAATTTCCTGTAAAGGTGCTTGGTGTTTTTAGAAAGTGGTTACACCCACAGTAACCTCTTGCTCGGGGCATGCATGACCCCCTTTTTACTTGCTCAGGTTTTTTTCACCCAGAAGTAGCCCACTTTTAACTCTGGAGTCTACTGTCTCTTGATTTTTGCCATGTTATGCTGAGTGTCTCTATATGGAAATAAAAAGTACATGTATCATGACTTTGTTCTTGTGATTTGGCTGGTGCAAGGCATAAGTGAGTGCTAATGGTAAATACATATATGACACTGCAAAAAATGTATGAAATTTTTCTTTGGACCCACTCAACCTGCAAAAATTAATTCTCAGAACCCAACAGAAAAACAAATGGCATTTAAAGTGGCATTTTTTTCTGCATATTTTGTCATTTCACTTATTACAGTAGCACGGATGTTGATAAAGCAGTGATCATCTAATTTATACAAAAGGACAAAAATTCCATTGTTGTATTTAGCTCTGCCTCTATTTAATAAGGAGTAGCAGACTACCACTTATCAGATGACATTCAAAATTTTAACATTTTTTTACCAAGGAAATAAGTATGTGCGTTTAAGACTGACTCAGGAGAATGGCACAACTAATGCGTGAGCTGCAGGTGAGGGCATTATCAGCATTCAGTCTCCTGAGCCGGTTTTCAACATTAGTTTTAGACCAGCCAAAGCACATATTTATTCCCATTCATAAATACCTTTTTAGTCAGAGAGTTGAAAGAAGTCAATACACTCTGTATATGATGGATTTCCAATGATTTTGTTCTAGAGGGTTACTTTCATTTTTCCGAATACCCCTGTCCATTTGATGGCATATTCCTTGTGCGCGTTGACCAAAATAATCTCATTTTATGGACTTGGTGCGCGCGTGCACATGGACTCTTGACCAATAAGAATCAATTAACCTGTGTCGTATCTAGGTGCCAGGGAGTGATTTAAGTGGCATACATTATCAATACTCTAGTGGGCATTATCGCATGTTAATACACGGTCAAGTTGCATGTCGTTGAAAAGGTAGACTGTCTGAGGTATTTATGAATGTCTGTTGTTTTCACTACATGCATCAACTGGTGTGACATCATCCTTTGTAACAATTTGTAACAAATGAGTTGCTAAAATGAACAGAAGGAAATACTGGTTCAATCTAACTCATTTATTTCCTTTGGAAGTCTAAAACTTTTTCAGAGCCTGAAGAAAAAAGTGGATATTTTCTTTTTGTGATGTGTTTATATGCATTGCCAGAGCTGACAGCGTATGCATTTTTTCAGCAACTACATGTAGTAATTTTAATTGTATGCAGACTATTTCAGTGATTACTCTATGCTGGTAGTAACACAAGGCAGTGAACTTGTCGATTTTTTTGGAGTAGAGGAATGGTATGGAAATTTCTACCCGCAATGCGTAGACTCTCTTTCTGAGCACTGTCTTGTTTGAGATGTATATGTACTCGTATATTGCCGTCTAGGCATTTCTCAAACCCCTTTCCAAAACATCAAAGTGCACCTGGGAAATGATCATGAAGTTGGTTGAAAGGCTTGGATTAGAGTAGGTGGACATTCATGTCTGAGAAACAATAGAGCTGTTATTTCAGTACATCTGGCACGTACAGAAACTTGGTAGAGACAATCTCCACTCTCCTCAAAATTGTGTCTACTTTTCAACTGGAGCCCCTTGCTCTATTATTACTCTGAAAACACAGGACAGCAAGGCTGCAGTTTGCATCAGACATATTTCTCTGTTCAGTCCTTCAATTTCAAGCCCTAGTTCTCAAGGGATGAAAAGGTCAGGCAGGGATGCTCTCGGAAAGAGCCATAGATTAGGCAGGATTAAACTGAGGAAATCCAAGTGTGTAGTAGAGTCCAGGAACTGCTGACATCTTATCAATCCAAGAACAGAAGTACTTGCTTCAATTGTAAGATACCACAGTATATTTTTAGCCAAAGGTTTTGCAGAAAAACATCGAAGTGGACTGTTAGGGGTCTTCCATTCTAAAAGGGGAGTTTTAAAAAGAGATACTGCACAATAATTTCATCATCCCTTTGCCACTTGTTATTGTCCCCTACAGGATGGTGCTGTCAACTTACTGGGCATACATGTATATTGCTGCTCTGAGTGATAGCTTGCAGGATATATGTAGCAGAGGAATTCTACATTCAATAACCTTTCTCCAAAGAGGTGAAAAAAAAAGAAGAAATGAGTTGTCAGTGTTTTCTCCTCCTGGAGTTGAACAAGAAGTAAATCTGAATCATCGGGATCGTTAATCTTTTTAAGCGATGCATGTCTTGCCTATGCGCGCATCATCTTGGGCAATACAGGGCATGAGTTGTTCAAGCTGCCATTTTCGCTTTCAGTTTGGCCAAGAGCCAGCTTGGGTTCAAGGTGGTCTAGACCTTGCCTCCTCCTAGTCCTTCCCCATTGCTTTTAGAGTGGTCCCCTGAGACCAGAACCAAGCTGAAGAGTAGGACTAGTTCTTGAGTTAATGGTGGCTTTAGCCTTACACAAACTTCTTCAGTGGAATCAAGTGGAATATGAAGTCTCTGGTGAGGCATTTGTTTTAAGAATTGAAGGACATCAGGAGCATGGTGATTGAAATGGAATGAGGAGAAATCAGGATCGGCATTAAATTGGAAACTCAATATAACTGAATGGCTAGAAAGCAAGTTAAACCCTTTCTTGGGGAATTAACTAGTTATGACTTTCTGTGTATGCTCTGTGAGAAATTGGGGAATACACTGTCCTGCAATGACCTCTAGGATTTACAGGATTTTTTGCCAGGAGCCTTGATGAGGTCCTATGGCCGAAAGTCTTGTCAAATTCACTTCAGGGCCTTGAGAGAGTGACTTCTGCTTCGCAATCTCTTAGTTTTCTTTCAGTTGAGCATAACCTAATACGAAGGCTTTTTAACAAAAAATCATGAATTTAGGAGAGCAACTCTCAAACCATGTTGGCCTGTTCATTTTTTAAAATCAAAATTTGCATTTATTCTTTGAAAATTTGTCTTTCTTTAATCCTTTTATGAATTTTCTCAGCGTGGCACTTTCATAACTGGTTTGTGACTTGGGTTTTGTATCCTGTGAACTTGTCGAGTATTCACAGATGAGACTTTTAACTGTCAACCAGTATCAAGGTTGCTTAGAATGTTAATGACTTGAGAAGAACACCAGCAGCAGAGTTGCATTCAAGTGCCACTGAGTTCAACCCTCTTTCAATCTCTTTTTCAACTTCTTGTTCTCCATGCAGATGGGAGGTGACCGAGTGGATGGAGTGCAGCCGGACCTGTGGCATGGGACGCCAGATGAGACAGGTGATGTGCAAGCAGACAGTGACCCAAACCCTGATCACCATGGTGCCTGGGGAGCGCTGTGACCCCAGGCTGGAGCCCGAGAGGGTACAAGAGTGCCACATGGACCCCTGCACAGCCTGGTCAGCTGGCGAGTGGGGAGAAGTAAGTAGAATACATACTGTACATGCGTTGGCCAATAGGGAAGGGCTAAGGGGGCCATTCCCCACAAGACAATTTATTCTTGAAATGCAAGGAGAAAAAATGATTTTCATTCCTTCCCAAAGCATCAAAACAATGAAGTTCACTTAACCCTTTACAAAGCCCACACAAGGTTACTCAAAGAATGCCCCCTTTTTAATGACCCTCCAAAAATCTGCCCCTCCCCACCAGGTCTAGATCCACTCTCATTGCAACATGTATGAGGAATTTCCAGTAGGGTACACCAACAAGAGTTTAATATCTGATCATGTAAAAAATAGACATGCATGGCCTAAATGGTATCATATTTTACCATAGATTAGCAGTTTACCATTTGTTATAGCAATCATTCACTTACAGATAACGTGTTATCTCCTAATTTTCTCAAAATGTTTGTATTTGTGTGACACCACACTTGAAGTATGAAGAGCAAGAGGACAGGAAGGTGATATTTGCAAAATGCTGGACATTAAAAAGTGGTCTCTTGTTCACAAATATGAATTCCCAGCAAGTGGGAAGTGAACATCTTGTTTTCTTTGTTTTTAATCCATACGGTGTGAGATTTTGCCGGATGTTTTAAATTGGCATTGAGAATAGTTGATGGAAACTTTCCTCATAAAGATGATTTAGTAAATTTACAAGTCAGTGTTTTGTCATGGTCAAAGTCGACCCCCTCTCTATTCTTTTCCATGAGGATGGAATTGGAGAGAGTGATTTCAGAATATGTCAAAGAACATGTCAGAATTGTCAAAAACAGTAACGGCCATCCAGAAATGCCAAGTCTTTCTTTTTCATTTCACACTTTACTGCCTCGAACAGTGGAAGCAACAACTCTATTCACAGCTTACTACCACGTAAGTGCAAATTGACTGAAATGTCAAAATAGAAGCAAGAACAGTTACTTCAAACACCTGTGTCCAATGTGTAAAACTTCCAGAGAGAAACTGCTGCTTTCGCATCACTAATAGGAAATTGATGCACATGTATGTCATTTTCGTCTTATTAAAAGAAGTCACAGAAATCATGTGTTTTCAGTTTATCAACTATTCAGATAATTTCACTGAGGGTGGGAGCTCATTTGCAAACAGGACCTTGGCGGGCACTAGATGTCATAGCTGATCAGTCTGCATCAGTGAATGAGTACATGCACTTTGAATGAGTGTCCCAATTGTTTGCAGGTTGAAGGCAGAGGATGTGCCCCAGCTGTCTTCTACTGAATATTGAGCAAGATTCAGGCTTTTAATTCTTGAAAGTGGACATCTTTAATCAAGTCTTATGGTTCTTTGACCCCAACCATTCATCAAAGAAAAGAAGTAGGATATACATGTAGTTTTTCTTATTCAACTATTGGCAACATTTTGGGGACTAGGTTCTCAAATAGTGAATTAGTATTTTATACCTGCCAGTTTTAGTTTCAAAAGTACATGCACTCTCTGAGGCTTGTATACATTGTCACTGCTCTAGTTGCTTTTATATAAGGCAAAGCAAATAGGGTCTAATGTTGTGAAAATTTTTGCAGGATACTTTTCATAGAGAATTCAAGTACAGCAACCCAAATGCAGTTGGTGGCTGTGCTTGGGTTGCTGCATCGGGTCGCTGCGCTTGGTTTGATGCAAGTTACTTGCTGCCTTAATCTTGAGGGATTGGGCTTAATGATGTATTACCTGTATACAGCAGATACGTGACTCAGAATCCTCCAGCCATCCTCATTGATGGTTACCACATGGTCAGGTGTTCTTGGCCAGCCTCTGTCATATTTGTGGTGCAAGAACTATGTCTGTGGCTGCTGGTACACAAAAATGCCGGAAATGAATGTTTGGGGTCACTGCTCAGATCATTTAAGTGGGGAAAAAAATTAGGTAAAATTTCTTGTGTCAAGAACAGCCCCACAGACACTGTAGCTTTCAGAGTTGTTGTTTACATCTGATGACCAAAAATGAATAAGTACTTTAAACACTAATTATCAAACACATTAAGTAGCCTTTAACTTAGTTGACAGAAATGCCAGTGTTAAAGACAGACATTTTGCCTGCTCTTTATCAAAAGTACTGTTTGGTAAGCTCTCTTGATAAATACCACAAAAAGTGGAATACCTGATGACTTAATGGTACACTATGTTAAAAGTCCCCCTCTTTCTTCCATTTTTTCATCTCAGGGCAGGGGAGGGGGATTTCGACCCCCTAACCCCAGTCCCCCTACCTTCAGATCTGCGCTTGATTTAGGTTTCCAGTTTTAAAGTCCGATAAACATTGAATGAAACAAGTATTCATTAAGAGTTATTGAGGTAGCTGGACATGATGGTCTGTCATGTTGATAAGCCATGTAGTTTTAAACCTATTGGGCGAAATTGAGTGTTTTATGAAACACAGCTCCTCACAAATTTCCACCAAAAAAATAAGTTGAACAATGGATTATATTGGAACTAGCTAGTACACGATCCAGTCACTTAAAGAACAACCAAGCTTGCTGAATCATTATAGCAACTACCCCTTCTCTGAACCCTCCAAAGCAGTCCAACATTTGAGTGCCAATACAGGTTCAGCAGTCAGGATCTGTAAGAATGCAAGTGGGCTTTTGGTAGATTTCCTGTAAATTCTGAATATGAAAGCAGTACCAGTTCCATCTATTTAACATGTCACCTTCTCTTCCCTCTCTTGGCAAATCTTGGCCATGACACAGCACAACTCACTGCCAAACAGTGGCCTGTTGGAGTGAGAAGGATTTGGAGACAACTGTTCACCAGTAGTCCTGACTGTCTTCCCTTTTAAGAGGGAATTGATCATGAAACCTCAAACACTAAAGAAACTCCACTGTAGTACCCACTTTGCATGTGGGAGATGAGATGATTCCATTCTTGTTGAATAAATTTTTTCTTAAGGAATCCTCATTTGCCTTCCTCCCACTCAAAACCTGAATATGTTACTGCTGCCAAAGCAAAGGGAGAAGGCAATAACCAAACGAAGTGGAGAAATCTGCACCAGGTGTTTTTTCTTTGGAAATTGCACAAGACTGATAATAGCCTGTTTCCTGGAGGTGGGCAGTTGACACATTCCAGACACCCATCAGTTAAATGAGGCAATGAGGCATTTTTCTTGAACTTCTTACACAAATTTAATTCCTTCATAAATCAGTGAGGAAGGGGAGGGCTTAACCATCTGATACTTTAACTTGATTGGAGTGTTTATGGTAAAAATATTTTACTTTGAATGAAAAGCCTACTGCCATTCAGTGCTTTCACTTTCAAGTGACTAGTTCTACCTTTGCAAAGGTGACTAACACTTTAAAGCATTTTTTTTCTTTTATATTTTGGAATCTTATACATATAAATAAGAATTTAGGGAAGTCATGGAATGATATGACAACCTCCTCCCCATTGTCATGACATAGTAGTAATTTTAGGACCTACTGAGTTTAAATGTTTGCTTTTAGTTTGAAATAAATTAGCTTAATTTGAAAAGCAAGGACCAATTACATATAATGAATTGCCTTGACAAATGTCAAACGGATTTAATGACATGAAAGCTTGTATTAGTAACAAGCAAGGAATTTTTCTCAAAGTTTTATGATCCAGTGTAGCTTACATTGTACAAAATAGGTAGTGTTTTAATTTACTCCTTTTCATCTTGACTTCATTTTCGTATTCAGAATTTTTGTATGAATTCACAGCCTTATCTCTAGGCTCTTGTTTACATCTACACACATCACCAGTTACAAGTCCTGTGGCACATCATGCATGGTTGCCTTTTATTAGGGATCTTTCACACCAATTGACAGTGGAGCTGTCATGCAAGAAGAAGATGCAGTCCACTGCAACGTAGCCAGGGGGTGTTTTTTGTGGGTATATATTCTGGGGAAGACGGAAAGGGTGGAACTTGGCAGATGAACCTGTGAGACTGAGTGATGCGGGAAAGAAGGTTCAAAGATTTCTGATCCTCGGGATATCATTTGTCATTTTTTGTCACATGTACTGTACATGCATGGTGCCCTTTTTGAGGGAAAGTCCCTTTACATGCTTTTGGAAGGAAGGGAAATGGATATTCCTAAAGCATCCTTTTTTTCTTTTTTATTTCAAAAGAGAAATCTCCCTTTTGTAGGGTTGGGAGGGGCAAGGCCCCGTCTAACAAGATCTTGACCAATTAAATTGGATTTCATTATTGTGGAGTTGCAAGATACTGGTTAACAGAGGCCTGTCCACTGATGCATTGAGAAAATAGGTTAGTGTGTCACCGCTGACAGGGGACTGATGTCGGTAATATATAATCATTATGGGTGTCACCAGCTAAAATGGATCAAGACTTCCTTGGCTATGTAGCTAGGATAAGCTTGGCACATGGTTTATAGACTTAGGGGGCATGGCTTTTAATGTCACAGCCCGATACTAGGTTTCATGGTAGTAGAATGATGAAGTCGAGAAACATTCACGCCCCCACTGCAAATTGCATGTCATGTAGTGTTTGCCCACATAAATTGCATTCCAAACATATAACCACTACCTGTTTGCATAAGAGGCCTGGCCACATTCTGCAGTCCCTTGTAGCCACAGTAGGTTGGTATAGAGGCTGGTGAATGGCATCCCTATGGGTTTTAGTAACATTATCACTTGCTGTTCTAAACTCAAGTGTGGAACTTGTGACACAATGTCAGAACACACTATTTCCTTCAAATACATCAGTAATTATGTTCACACAAGACAGCAGTGCAAGTTATTAATCTTCTGCTCAGAAAGAGTTATGTGATACACTGTACTGAAGCAAAATTTAAAATTGACAATTTACAATGTTGAAAAAAAGACACAAATTTTATGAATGTTGAATACATACAAATATTTTAAAAGGGTATCAATAGGAGCTGATATCAGAATGAAAAACGTTTGTGCCTCCTGTAGGATTATTTGTGATATACTCAGTTGGTTTGTTGCTCAGCACTATTGATACCTAACTGGTACGTACCTGTTCACTTTAATT